TCCCTCCTCCCCTCCCAATCTCTCCCTTCCTCTTCCTTCTCCACACATGCCCCTCCCCAAGTCCACTGATAGGGGAGGTCTTCCTCTCCTTCCTTCTGATCCTAGTCTATCAGGTCTCATCAGGAGTGGCTGCATTGTCTTCCTCTGTGGCCTGGTAAGGCTGCTCCTCCCTCAGGGGGAGGTGATCAAAGAGCCAGCCACTGAGTTCATGTCAGAGACAGTCCCTGTTTCCATAACTATGGAACCCACTAGGAGACTGAACTGTCATGGGCTACATCTGTGCAGGGGTTCTGGGTTATCTCCATGCATGCTATTTGGTTAGACTATCAGTCCCAGGGAAGACCCATGTGCCCAGATATTTTGGATCCGTTGCTCTCCTTGTGGAGTTCCTGTCCCTTCCAGGTCTTACTAACTCCTATTTCTTTCATAAGATTCCCTGCAATCTCCTCAAAGGTTGGCCATAAGTCTCAGCATCTGATGAAACAAGTTTTAACAGATAAAAAATATAAAACTCATAGTTTCTTAACAGGCAATACCAAATAAAAGCATAAATCAACACCAAATGAAACTGAAGAAACTATGTAAAACTATGATGACTGGACAAAACACTTTAAAATTATGATTGGACCATGGGATAAATAGGCATGAATATAAAATTTTCTAGAATAAATAAACATGAAAATACAACTTGCTAGCACTTTTAGAATACAGTAAATAGAGTTCAAGAAACAAATTTGTAGGTACTAGTATTTATGTTTCTACAAACAGATTTTTCCTACTTTCAGTCTTCCTCACAAAGGTTTCTGCTTTATGTGTGAAGTTATTAAATCAGAGAAACATCAAGTAAAGTGCTGAGAATACATGAGTTTTGAATCCTCCGACCTACTGGGTTTCTGTATTATCCCTTCCAAGGTCCAGGGAATGTTGTGGAAGAGAGTGCACAATGTAATAGCAAGGGAATGCGAACGAGGACTACAACAGTTAGAACATGGCATGGCTATTGCGCTCAGAAACTCACTCCAATGGTGACTACCTACAAAAGATTAGAGCTGTCAACATCTCATCATGAACTCACTCCAATGGTGACTACTTACAAAAGATTAGAGCCATTAATATCACATCATGAAGGTGGGAAAGTGCATAAGACCCCACGTCTTACTAAGGAGCTACAGAGAGTTTATGGTTGCTTGAGATGGGGAAACCATATTCCTCAGTAGTAGTCATCAGTAAACTGTTCTTACTCAAGCAAATAAGCATGGGTGGCCATGCTCATGAATGCAATCCTGATTAAAAGTAGTGGATCACAACAAAACAGACCAGAAAGGTGTGCAAATAGGAAAAAGACATGCTATTAAGAACAAATCCTTTGTTGAGAGTGATAAGAGAAAGTACAATAAGGAATAAAATAAAACTACATTTGTGTATGTGTAATAAAATTGCAAAAGAATCATTTAAAAATAAAATGAAAATATATGTAAGAAGGGAAAACAATAATAAAAAATTGTGATATTATTCATATTACAACATCATCCCAAAAGTACTCTTGAAAAAAAAAAACATACACAATGTCTATCAGATTTAGCTGCACAATTATGCTGTAACTCTTTCATTACAGTCAAGCCATGCATCAGGCTGTTTAACAACCAAAGATGAGAGGAAAGAGAAATTCTAGCATCTATATACAATTCAGTATTCCACAGATATTAGTTAGACCCAGACCTCTTGCCTATTATTGTTACAAAGTACATGTTAATGGAAAACATCGTGTCAAGTGAAATAAGCCAGATTCAGAAAGTCAGTTATTATGTTTCCCATCATATGTGGAATTGGGAAAAGAGCACACAATTTTACAAGGAGACCCTTGGAGAAGAGGAAGGTAACCAGCATCAGAAATCGGAGGTGGGGGTTGCGGGAAGGCACAAGAGATGGAAGAAGGAAATGTCAAGATGATAATGTTATTCAAACCACTGTTTATAAATACATAATAAAGCAATTAATTGAAAAACTAAGTAAAATTTGAAAAATAATGCTTATCATCTGATGAATTAAATAAAATCTAAATATATTTCAATAGTAAAAATAATTCCAGAAAGAATGAAGTGGTATACATAGGGCTTAGTCAATGTTCTTTAATGTAAAGTGAAAGAGCATAAACTCTGAAAACATGTTGTCTTCTACCATGACTACATACTGAGATGATATTGGTCCTATTGTCATGACCTTGATTGCATGTAAGCAACACTGACAAATGTGAAAATATCTAAGTAGAGCGTTGTCAAGGTGATCTGATAATTAGGGAGTACACTAAGATAAGACCACGTAGAAAGCCAGCTTTAGCTGCTCATCATCTGAAATCATCAAAGTCACCCGTTTGTCAAATAGTTGGATGCTGGTTTCTACAAACTACCCTGTCTGGCCAGTAATAGCTAAAATTCATTTAAGAAATAACATTGGCCACACAAAAATCCACTGAAGATGTAAAATGTACAAAATAAGTGTTTCTGTCCATAACAATAAGCAATCTCCTAAAATTCTGGGATATGTATATTCACTTCTGAAGGATCCACTTAGATATGTAAAGGAACTAATTTCACCACAAATTGATGAAAAAATAGCAAGAGTCTTTTATTCCAATTCTTTTCTGTGTAAAATGACTTGGTTTATTTTTCATTCTTTACTCTGGGAAAATGTTCTTAAAGGAGAGCAACAGAACAAGAAAATTTGAACACAGAGAACTTCCCAGAGACTCATACTCCAACCAAGGACTATTCATGGAGATAACCTAGAACCCAACAATGCAGCCACTTCTGATGAGAACTGATAGACTAAGATCAGAAAGAAGGAGAGGAGAACCTCCCCTATCAGTGGACTTGGGGAGGGGCATGCATGCAGAAAGTGGGGGAAAGGGTGGGACCGGGAGGGGAGGAGGGATGGGCTTATGGGGGGATACAAAATGAATAAAGTGTAATTAATAAAAGTTAAATAAAAAAAGAAAAAAAAGAACTAGCTTTATTTAAATCATAGTTTAAATTTATAGTTTAAATAGTTTAAATCATTCTCATCTAAGGAAGAATATAACCTGATTACATACAAAGTGGGCTTATCAGCACTATAACATTAAAACATAAGCACGTTGTAGAAGTGTGGTGTACTGAAATTTTATTGTAGCTTACTGTTTTAATTAATGCACCTTATTCTTATAGAATCAGTCTTCTGATGTTAAAATACATCTCACTGAAAAGTTTATAAGTGTAATCTTGAGCATACTATGGATACGAAACTATATCTGTAAACATACCCTCTCTTCTGAACTAATAGAAGTGACTGTATATGACCACTGTGCATTGCAAATACATCGACCAGAAGGGAAGACTCGGTCATTCTATTCACTGTGGGGCTTGGAAAACGCTGGCTCAATTATTCCTTGAACTATGTTTCCCATCATCAAGGCAATCTTGCTTAGAAATTGGCCCCTGAGGATGACCCATGACTTAAATGATGCTCAGCACCCTTCCATAAGTTTCCTTAGAATTACAGGTAGAGAAGGACATAGACAGTTCTACTTAGTCTTATAAGATCTCCTGACACTCATTTGGCTCAAGCTATTGTGAAACCAAGTACTCCAACAAGAGCTGAACAAAACCTTCTGGCTGACTTACCTTTCTTCCCCATTTAAAGAAAATGAATACACGAGTATTTGGATATCTCAAGGGAAACCGTACTTTAGAAGCATTTCAGATCCTTAAACCTATTGCCTCTTTTATTTTTGAAAAATATTCAAAGTCGTCAAAATTTTAAGCATATGACTTTGAAATGCCTGTGATTTTTGTTTCCCAAAAGCTTGGCTCGCAGTAAGTATACTAAATGTAAGTCTTAAACAGTTAACATGATACAATGCATTTACTCTAAGACTTGTTTGTACATAATAATATTGAGACTTTCACAAGGACTGTCAGGATTTCTGACAAAAAACAAAGTGCATGAGATTCTGAAAGTCAGGAACATATTTTGAAAGTGTAATTTTAGAAGAACTTTGACTTTGAATTGTTGGGGCAGGAGATTATCTCTTCTTCATCAATAACCATATTGCTTAATGCAGCCAATAAGAATTATATAAAAATGAGGTTTATTCATAGCTATAGATAAATCATATTTCAAGAAATTGATTAATTTTTTAAAATATTTAATTTTTTAATTTAATTTTTAACTTAATTAAAAAACTTATTAATTATTTATTACAATTTATTCACTTTGTATCCCAGCTTTGGCCTCCTCCCTAGACCCCTCCTAACCTCTTCCTCCCTTCCTCTTCTCCTCCCTTGTCCCTCCCTTAGTCTGCTGATAGGGGAGTTCTTTACTTTTTTCATTTGATATGCAAGAGCTCTCCTGAAACTTGAAACATATGTGTTTTACAAGTATGAAATGATTTAATGATTTCATGTTTTTAATAGTACTATGTAATTTTAAACCAAGAGTTTTTATGTGGTAAATGTCATATTTTAATAATTACCTTAAATTCTTGAGACTATTTTATAAAGAAACATACTTTTCAAAATTATAAGGCATCAATACAAATAAAAAATTATTTTTACCTTCATTCACTGTTCAGTCAGAGTTTGATTATGTTTTAAAAGCTTATTATATAATAAAGAGCAATACAGAATCATGAATATGTTCTGATAAAACTACCTATACATACAATCCAGAGGCATTTGACTGAATCATCAATTGTTATTTAATGCTCTGGGCTTTGTTCATCTTTAAAAATGGTAGGGTAATATAGGTTATATTGAAAGTGTAAAAGGTTCTAACATATTTATTACATAATAACCAAATGTCATACTTCTATTTTGACATTCATTGTTAATAATACTGTAATAGTAATATTTACTTTGAGACAAGAGAAACTAATTATGAAAATAGTGCAACATGCATAAAATATGTTATTGAGAAATACTCAACCTAAGTGTCACTTCAATTTCACTTTAGGGTACTTCACAATGAATGCCTGGAATCACACAAGTAAGCCTGATTTCATCCTCATGGGGCTGACAGACTCCAGGGAGATCCAGCTGGTCCTCTCTGTGCTATTTCTCCTGATATACCTGGTCACTGTGCTGGGGAACATTAGCATGATACTGATCATCCGTCTAGATGTCCAGCTTCACACTCCAATGTATTTCTTCCTTACCCACCTGTCATTCCTTGACCTCAGCTACTCCACCACCATCACACCTAAAACCTTACAGAGCCTGTTGACTTCCACTAAGGACATTTTCTTCTTGGGCTGCTTCACACAGATGTACTTTTTTGTCCTTTTGGCAGCTACTGAGTGTTTCCTTTTGTCTTCAATGGCCTACGATCGGTATGTAGCTATTTGTAATCCTCTGCACTATTCAGTTGTTATGTCCAACAGATTTTGCTGTGCCCTCCTTACAGGGTCATATGTGTTTGGAGCGGTGGATTCCACTGTCAATATGCTCTGCATGAGTACACTAGATTTCTGCAACTCCAATGTCATCCATGACCTTTTTTGTGACACATCCCCAGTTATAGCTCTGTCATGCAGCAATACACACGATATTGAATTCATTATATTCATTTCTGCTGGTTCTACACTATTGTTATCCCTTATCACAACATTTTCATCTTATGTTTCCATTCTCTCTACTGTTGTGAAGATCAATTCTACTTCAGGAAAGCAAAAGGCCTTCTCAACTTGTGCCTCTCATATCCTGGCAGTCACCATATTTTATGGTACCATTATCTTTACTCATTTAAAATCAAATAAGTCCGTCTCCTTGGGAAAGGATCAAGTGGCTTCGGTGTTTTATACCATTGTGCTCCCCATGCTGAACCCACTCATTTACAGTCTCAGAAACAAAGAAGTGAAATGTGCTGTAGGTAGAGTTATACAGAAAAGAGAAAGAAATCTGGACAAATAAGATAACACTTATGCTAAGAAGCTGGCTTTCCTTCGTTCACATTTTCCCTTGGCCTTTCTGTCTAAAATAAGGAAAAGTATTTATTTTCCTGTTCTCATGGAGCTTTCATTATACAGCATTTTATCAGAAACTTCCAGGAATGCATTTTTCAAAGCCATTTTTATTTTAGAAAATATAATATACACATGGTATAACTACCTGTTTTTATAAAAGACAGTGTAAAAAATTAGAAGATGTCTTCCAATTTTAAAACTATATCATACTCAAATCTTACATTATTACCTTATGATTAATATACTTTTCAAAGTAACCACATGATCAGATGGCATCATCTTGTGATATGAAATAGCAAAATTCACAGAGTGTTTAATCCTCAATTTCATCAGCAACAGAAGAGAATAATCCCAGAACAATGTTTAAAGATGATGGGTGAAATTCATTTGAGGCATTAATCACAAATGCTATCTATTAAAATTATAAGACTTTCATTATTGCAATATATTAATGCATACTTCTTTGCATGAAGCAATTATTACATGTATATATGCTATTGACTGATATTTTAGAAATTATTTTCAGTTAGGCTAAATAACAAGCATAATTATCTTAAAAGGAATATAATCAGTATTTATAAACTTTTAAATCAAAGTAAATTACTAAAGTAGAATTTATTTACAGGTAAATATTGGTTGGTTATAACTTAGACATTGATATTTTGCCAAAAGAAACATGGTAACAATTATTAGCATTTTGGCACATGTACTTCTCAGCTTATTAATGTAAATATATGTCTCTGTATGATATATAAACATAAAGTTCTTGTTATTGTTTCTATTCTTCATTCATTTAGATGACTTATGGAGTATTTTAAGGGGTGTGCTATTCTATATATAAAAAAATCTATTTTTTGTATACTCTGCTGTTTCACGTTGTCAGTGAACGTGTAATCAGTGCTCTATTCTTGTCTTGCATTACTTTGAATATATTATGAAGTTATCAAATCAGAAATCTGAGTGCTGTGATATCCTTCTGCATATGTTTTTGTTAACTGTTTTAGAAACAAAACCACTGTGATAAATATCAAAAGTTTACTAAATTATTGTCCTCCTCTGGTTACTTTTTAAATTGTTTTTATCATTGTTATTATTTATTACAGTTTATTCACTTTGTATCCCAGCTGTAGTATCCCCCTCTTCTTCTCCTGGTTCCATCTTCTCTCCTTCTGTCCCCCCGCCTTGTATCTCCACTAGTCAACTGATTGGAGAAGTCCTCCTCCCTTACAATCTGACCCTAGCTTATCAGGTCTCATAAGGACTGTCTGGATCCTCTCTCTCTCTGTGGCCTAGTTAGGCCACCTTACCAGGGAAAGCTGATCAAAGAAGCAGTCACTGAGTCCATTTCAGAGACAGTCCCTGTTCCCATTACTAGGACACCCACATGGAGATTGAGTGCTCCTGGACTACATCTGTGCAAGGGTTCTAGGTCCTCTCAATGTATGGTCTTTGGTTGATTCATCAATCTCTGTAGGACCCTCCTGAGCCAAGATATTTTGGTTCTGTTGTTCTCCATGTGGAGCTCCTGTCCCCACCAGGTCTTTTTATCTCCCCCTTCTTCCAAAAGATTCCCTACACTCTACCCAAAGTTTGGTTATGAGTCTCAGCATCTGATTTGATACTTTTTAAATTTTTTCTTTATTATTTTTTACAATTTATACACTTTGTATCCCTACTCCAGTGCCCTCCTTCATCTCCTCCCAGCCCCACGCTCCTCTCTTCTTCTCCTAAGCCCTTCTCCTAGTCCACTGATAGGGGAGGTCCTCCTTCCCTTTCCTCTGACCATAGCCTATCAGGTCTCATCAGCACTGGATGAATTGTCTTCCTTTGTGGTCTGACAAGGCTGCACTCAGAAAGGAGAGGTGATCAAAGAGCCACCCACTATGTTTATGCCAGAGACAGCCTCTGCTCCTCTTATTATGGAACCAACTTGGAGACTGAGCTGCTTATGGGCTACAGCTGAGGAGGGGTCTAGGTCTTCTCCATGCATTGAAGTATCAGTCTCAGAAAAAAAGCCCTGGGCCCAGATTTTTTGGTTCTGTTGGATTCCTTATGGAGCTCCTGTCAACTCCAGGTGTTTCTATCTCCTCCTTCTTCCATAATGTTCACTGCACTCTGCCCAAATTTGGCTGTGAGTCTCAAAATCAATACTCTGCTGGGTAGTCTTTCAGAGGCCCTCTGTGGAAGGCCCATGTCCTGTTTCTTGTCTTCTCCTACTTCCAATGTCTTCCCTGTTTACCCTTCTGTGTGAGGATCAAGCCTCTTCCCTAGGGTCCTCATTGTTGTTTAGCTTCTTTACAGCTATAGATTTTAGTATGTTTTCCTATAGTAGATGTCTAATATCCATTTATAAGTGAGGATTATCAAACTCAGGATTATCTTTTCTAGTTCCATCCATTTGCCTGCAAATTTCATGATTTCTATGTTTTTAATTGCTGAGAAGTATTCCATTTCTACACATATTCTTATTCCAATTTGGTTATGTTTGTGATTAAAAATTAGAATTAACTGAACTTTTATCAATTGCCCATTATTTTACCTCATATGTATTAACCAATTTCCTATTTCCCTTCATATTTTCCTCTTTCTTTTTGAGACCTGGACCTTCCAAGTAAGGCTAGGCTAACTAACCAGCAACCACCAGCTTTCTTCCCATCTCTGGTTACTAATTTGTAGATAACATGCACATACCTGGAACAGAAAAGGAGGAGAACCTCTCCTATCAGTGGACTAGGAGAAGGAAATAGGAGGAGAAGAGGGTGGAAGGGTAGGACTGGGAGGAGGCTACAGCTTGTATACAATTGTATAATAAATTGTAATAATAAATAAATAAATAAGTTGTAATAATAAATAAATAAATAAAAGCAAAAAAAATTTGAAAAAGAATATTAAAAGTTGCAAGAGAAAAAAGGCCAAGTAACATATAAAGACAGACCTATCTGAATTACACCTTACTTCTCCTTTTTGACAGAAACTCTGAAAGCCAGAAGGACCTGGGAAGGTGTCATTAAGGACATAAGAAACCACAAATGTCAGCCAAGACTACTACATATAACACACTTTTCAATTGCCTTAGATAGAGGAAACAAGATGCTCCATGGCAAAATCAAATTTAACCAATAACTACATACAAACTCAGCCCTACAGAGGATGCTAGAAGGAAAACTGTCAGGATCCAGACAGAGAAAAGGCTTCAGTGAGCATGTGGGGTTAGTGGGAGGCAGCCTAGTGTTTTTGAAAGGTCTGCGCTAGGGGTAAATCTGAGACATTCAGAGACTACACCCCACAATAACTTTTTTCAGCTGACATGCCCCCTTTTGTGCTATTACGGTATCTCTGAAAAATCTGGCGTGGTGTGTAGAGGCCACTCTACTTATCACTGCACATATCTCCTATGTATCTCTGGGAAGATGTGCTGCTGTTCAGATAAATTAACGATTTTATAAAATCCCTGATTGTCTTCAAATATTTTTTAGAAGTTAGATAGTTGATAGAAAGTTTTAAGCTGCAGTATAAAACTTCTGTGACCCTCCAGATACCAAGTGCAGATATAGCACTAAAGAGAGACAGGACAGAGACAGATTTATTACGGTTTAAGATAAACAATTCACCCTCGTTTAGTCCAGAGATGCACCGTGAGTCCTGGCATGCACCATACAGATAATTATTAGTGCTTTAAACTCTTAACAGACTCAGAAATAATGGACAGGTATGGAATGTCTAATTAAAACACAAATCTTGATGGCATAATATATAAATGGTTTCATTATAGCTCTGTATACCTTGTCAACCTTTGTCATCTGAACTTACACTGAACCTTTAATGGAGACATAAATCAGAAATGTTTAGTTTTAACTGGAGAGACATGTAATCTACAAACCTGCTTTTACAATATTATCTGTTTGCTTTATGACTTTGAGATAATTTTCTGATGTAGAAGCCTTTGTCTTAGAGATATTTAAGCTATAGACAAGACAATAAAGTTGTGGAGCTTGCTGACATTTGCTTCATTCACAAGTTGTAAATTTGCTGACATTTGCTTCATTCCCAAGTTGTAAATATGTGTCTATGTGTGTAATTGTCTGTACAGATGTATGAACACACGTGTGATGGGGCCGCCTTGTCTTATTTGTTGAATGACTGTGTGCATGTGAATGAATGAGAATTTTCTTTTTCCTTTTTCTAATCCACTGGCTCACATAGGGTTAATAAGTTCTGAGCTCCAAATCAATCTGTTCCTTTTTCTCTTAAGTCAAAGAGGCAAAGATTTTCTTCCCAGCTTAAGCCATTTTCACAGCTTGTTGTCGCCCAAAGGGGGTATGTACCAGAAAGAGCAGAGCTGACTGCGGGGAAACCAAGAGAACCTAAGTAGCTTGGTCCAAGGTTCAAGTCCCTGTTTCTTCCCTTTTCAACCACCTGCAGTGACTAGTAGAGGATCCAAGATTTTTTAAGAGTTTTCCAGTTACTTGCCAGTTGTAAAGTACTGGCACCTAAAGAGTTAAATTCACTTTTGCTACAAGCAATGCTGCCTACATTCTGGTTGTCTCTATGTCCACCTGCCTCAGTTTCTCCCATGGACCCATCAAGGCTTGTCCTTGGCAGAAAACTCCAACCAAAGGAGGTATATGACACCCAAGAAAACACAGTAAATAAATAATTCCACTGCAGAAAACCAAAAGACAAGAAGTATACTCACATGCTGCCACCACGAACATCAAAATAAAAGGAACTAACAACCATTGATCATCAATATCTCTCAACATCAATGGACTCAGTTCTCCAATAAAAAA